TTTAGTTTTGATGCAAAAACGCATGATCGCACCGGCTCGCCTGGTGCGTTCCAGCCTTTGTTTTACGAGTGTGATATTACGTTGGCAAAAACGGTTTTCTTTGCGCATAAATGCGAGTCGCAAAATCTTCGTCTTTTTCGAACGTATTTTAAGTAAAGGTTGTCTTGTCATACTGCCTTTTAAAAAGCTTACAGGCAAAGAACAACAATGTGACAGTTGATCGTTTCTCAGACGATTCTGCGGGGAAAGTTATATTGGGACAAAAAATTGAGTAAGTTATTTTTAACCCATAGGGTTGCGGACATTGAATTCTTTCACTAACTGATTAAAAAAGCATGTTCTTTCTCTTTAAAGTAGTGATAGGGAGGTGAAGCATACAGTAGATCCATGTTGATAGTATATATCAGGAGTACTAGGGCAGCCCGCGCTATCAGTGTGTGTATTCTGTGATAGTGATGCAGTAATATTTGCCTTAATGAGTGCAATAAAAATACCCGTGTTTCATGTTCAGAATGCAAAAATGCAAGGATGCATTTTTGATGTTTGGCACAGAGCCAAGAATAAACAAGCTACGTAATTTTTTTTATCTGTGTTTAGAACATATAAGCAGTTATTATTATTCAAATTTGATTTAAATTGGTGAATTGTTTCCATTTCAGACATGAAGTCAATTTTCGGCTTCATCCTAAAGCGGTGGAAAAAAGCAAGCTCAGTTCGTTGCTACGTTTTGAGCAATGTAAAGGCAAAAATAGGGGACCAAGATCAAAGGCAAAAGGTTCAGTTTGCTCAGTACAAGCTGGTTTTCAACCGTCTCAAGAAGAAAGGAAGACTGATTGATTGTGTTTTCGCGTATTTTTGCGTATTCAGGTGCGCTTTTATTGTATCTGCGTTTGTGCGTCCGGATGCTTCATCTCATGAACGGCGGAAATTAAATTAGCTGATCGTTTCCTGGAAGCAGCATTCAAGGTCATGTGTAGGGATCGTTAGTGTGAAAAACGTACCTGACTCTTCGCCTTGAATTTCGGGTCGGGTTTAAGGACGGTCATGTTAATATTTGTTATGAAAGTAATTTACTTTGAATATTTGTTATTTTTGAATAAAAGTAATATTTGCTTTACTTTGAAAGAAATATTTGTTATTTTGAGTAAAACGGCGCTCAGCGTAACAAAATATGACGAAAAAAAATTATTTAAACAGTAAAGATCAACAATAACAATTTAAGACATGAGCGCCTATCAGTTCTTATGTGCCATAAGTTCCTGCTGTGGCTTGTTTACCAAGATTTGAACACCTGACTGTTTGGGCAAACAAATAAATCCAGTAGTGGCAGTTACCGTTTCCACTGCCAATTTCCGCTGGCTGTTCATTCATCACACAGCCATTTGTCGTTGAGTTCTTCCGAACAACAAATTCCTGGTTTTCAAATTTGAAAGATGTGAATATGTTGCCCAGATTGAATCCAGCTCTCAGACTTCGCTGCTTTCTTGCTTTACACCCCAGGTTCCATGTTTGGGCTGATGCTACAGTTTCCGCACAAACCAGACCCAAAATTTGTCATGACTCCCTATCAACTATCGTTTCATTGTTTTTCTTGTCGTTATTGTTGCAGTTCTCAAATTGTAATATCACTTGTTTGAACCGTTTAAAAGTTTGTGCTTATCTCTCGTTCCGCATTTTTGGCGCATTACTAAGTCACTTCTAACTCCGAACCGAAATGCTGTACTTCATTCGAGATGTGCTGCAACTTACTGACCTCTGCTGTGCCTCGTCCGTCTCATGGTTGTTTGTGTTACTGCTAAATTTTTCTCACCGGGCATGTTATTCCACGTTTCACTTCCACAACAGAGGGAAAGTTATTAGATGAATAAGTATTGGTCTTGTGTTAGTGTGAGGAAAGAAGTCTTGCAATTTGCCGGAAGCTGTTTATCTTGCTGTCTTTTTGCTTTTCTCCAAACCAACTTGTTATTTGACTGTATTGTTTGTCGCAAGTACGTATGGCCGTCTGCGAGTTTTACGGTCTGATTTTCGAGTCTCATATCGAACTGTGGGCAATATTTGTTCATCCGATGGTTTTCCGCAGTGGAGTAGCGGGCCAATTTCTTCGCTGTCATCGCAAGCTCATCAAATAGATTCTGCGGCGACTGTGAGTTTCTTGCAGTGGACATAACGTCGTCATCGAATAAAAGCGCTTCCATTAGTTAAATGCCACAGAAATTTTTATATGCAAGTATTGTTCAGAAATCGTATAAAACTTTACTTCAGATTCGCGACAACCGTATAACAATCGAGCATTGTCGTGCTCGGATGTCATACAGAATCCAGTTAGATTATACTGCATTGTACCATACCGCCTTTTCATCTGTATGGGTTTTTGTAGGCATTTATTGCAATTTGAACATCGTTCGTGACAGGCAGGTCATTTTGAAACATATTTTGAAACATGTCTGCGTATTTTTGAAACATATGTATGAGGCCTTCAACAGTGACTAGCCTGTTCAGAAAGCGTGGGTAGCTGGTCGTTTCACAGACCACGCACCTGCTGATGAGGAGACCTCTGGGCTCATTGGGCTTTTAAAGCAGTTCGACGCCTCTGAGTTGATTTTAGAAATTGAATGAGATGTAGTGTCCCCTTGATTAAATTCCGAACTGCTCATTATTCACTCATTCTTTTTCACTGGTAAATCCATATCCTGTACTTCTGCTGAAGGAACGCTTTTTTTCTCCTTTCGTGTTCTAGTTAGTTACGCCAATGGGCAATTACTACAACCCGGCTCCACTTGGCTGGCCTCGGCTTACCTCGTCCGTTTTACTCTAACGTCTTCGCTAGTGCTACTTCGCGGCGAGTCCCGTCAGCGCCACTTTGCTAAATGTGCCGGGTAGCGACACTCGGCGTCTGAAATGTTGGGTCGCGTGCGTTCAGGAGGAGGGTAGAGGGTGGGTTGGGGAGTTGAACATGGATGGGTGGTGTTGGTTGGCAGGGCCTCCGATACAGCTCAAGGAGCGCGGACTGAGGACAGGATAGAGAAGGGGAACACGCTTTTCATATTCCTTCGGACGCTTCGAAGCGCATTCAGCGGTGAAGTATACTTGAGAACATGTTAAGTACTTTTTCCCTTCCTATGCAGCAACATTTTTTATGAAAATTTATTGTTCAAAATAATAATACGACAGAAATAACGAAGTTAACAGAATAACTAGGATAAAAAAAGTGCAAGAAAGATAATTCAGCATGCAGCTAATTTTGGGGGGATTTTCGTCGCAGAAGAGTAAAGGAGTGCTGGGAAGAAAAATAGGGTAAAACAGCGCTCGAAGAAAAAGTGTTACGAAATTAGCTAAAAAGAAATAAATTTGCTGTCTTCGCTAAAATGGATGCAACCATTGCTGCGACAAATCGTTTTAAGACAAAGTGCTTTTCAAAAAATTAAGTCGGATAATGTCGTAGCCATGCAGTACTGCACTTGTAGCTTCCTAATAATCGCCATTGACCAAATCAGTCAGCCGAGTGGTGTAGGCAGTAGAAAAAAGAGGTGTGCGCCCTCCCCCCATTCTGTCGAAAATCGCTGAGTACTCATCTTTTTTTTCCAGTAGGTATAGTATTGCTTTGGCTAGAGCTGGCACCAGTTTCTTGATGTTGATTCTGCGGGCACTGAAATAAAAAGAAAATTCACTTAAAAAAAGAACATAACTTCTAGAGGTTAAAGCTGTGATATCTTGTCACATTGGGAAAAATTTTTGGCTCACTGTGTTATAGCTTGAGAGGAAAAACTTAAGGGGCATGAGGTGCTTTTTCACATCTGAAGCTATAAGAAAAAGTAAAGAAT